TTCTCCTCCATACTGCATAATTGCTGAATGTGCATTCTTGTACTTGGAAGTGGCTTGTCTAATACCATCAATAAAAGAACGTGTAAATTGACAATTATTTTGACACAACAGCTCCAGTATTGTTACAATAATTCGTAATTGCCATTCCAACTTAATAGCTGTTTCTCCTGAAAAAACTTTATCAAACTCTTGAGCACATAGACTCTCCAAAGCAGTATCTAACATATCCACTGACACAGAACCTCCTTTATGTTCGAGAATATATTTGAGAGCGTAAATATTCCGAGAATATTTTAGGTCCGTTAGCAATTCCTTTATTTGCTCATCTGCTGACATAAACCCTTGTTCCATTAATTGAAGTATAACTTTAGGAAAACTGCCTTGATTTACGGTGTTGCTCGGTGTTGACATAGGAGGTGTCAACAAGGGATCGGGAGCACTTGTTGTTGGCAAGGTGTTTGATACATAGCTGGTTTTTGAGCTAGAACTCATCGAGTTAGCCGTAAAGGGAATTGAGTTTTCAGTTTCCTACAAAGTAATATGTAGTAGTTAATGGATAAGCAAATGGAGTATTTTAGCATATGTTTGCTTTCCTTATACCTTATATGCCATTGTCACTTTGTCACTTCAATCAACATATCGATATCTTTCGACGATTCTTACTATTTATTCCTATTGGCTAAAATATTCGGGGTGTGATGTAACATGCAAATAGTATTGTTATGGGTCATCGACAATCATTTCACCGACAGTGCATTTCACCGACAATTAACTACCAAAAAAGGATAACTTCGAAATAATGTTGGTAAATATTTGTCGGCGAAATGATTGTCAGCAAAATGATTGTCGATGAAATGATTGCCTCCCTATTGTTATTATCTCAGGCAGGCTTATATAACAAAAACATTTGCAATTACGTATATCAACTGTTATATTTTTTATTTGCAGGCTGATAAACAAAGGTATAACATGTTTAGCGTAAATACTAATTCTCCATTTCTCACAGCAGTATAATAATAAGAGTTAAATCATGATTATATGTACGTTTTTCCACCAAATGTCAAATATTGGTAGATCGAATTCCTTGAAACTATTACCAATACTAACATCCTATCCCTTCCTGCAACCATACTCGCATAACTTTAGCACATGTCCATAATTATTCGTCAGAGCCCAGCCCACCATAGATGACGACTACCCGTTTGCTTTATGTATCACTAAATACGTTCTCGGAGAGACAAACGTTTCCCGATTCTCATTCTCATGATGTATTGAGTATGAGAGGTAATTACACCCCATACAGAATGTGAAGATGGGATGTGGGTCAAGCGTATTGGGATGTTTGTTTGATGGGCATTAAAGTGACTGTGTTTTGATCATACGTTAGACTGCCAAGCTTAGTTTGACATTCTGTTCGCTATGGTTTGTCGGTAAGTTTAAGACCAAAGAGTAATTTTATTTTATCAGTGCACTATTTCTGAGCCAAGAATTCTGACTCTATTGTTCTTTATCAGCGGACTGGAAGTAGCAATGCATTATTAGTATATACAACAGTCGCAAGCAATACGATATTGCACCAACGTCAACCAGGGCTGACGATCAGAAAGGATGCAACAGCTGCGAATATCATTATTTTTCCGACAGGCTTTTACACTTTGTATCAGGTCACTTATCGACATTGAGAGATTTATGCTTTCCAAACTGGCTGCTGTTTCAACGAGGGAAACGGAGACGTAATCACAAGGATGTCAGTTTTGGCTTATTGTTCGTTATCCTCGCCACATTACCCTTTAGACGCTTTTGCTTTTATAGTTTAATTGAGATTATTCTAATATCTTCGGCAGGCAGATCAGACGGCAACGACGACGATAGCAACAAGTTGTTCGAGCCAGCCGCGCGCATTCCAAAATACTTGTTGCTTTCTTCTATGGATGTTATTCAACGCCATTATTTCTCTTGCTGCTATAGAAGAGTATGTATTGCCATTTTGATGAACTTTTAGATTATTATCATGGTCAATGCATTTGCCTCGTTGATTTGGTTGTTGTCAATGTTAATGAAAATCACCTTAATAGTGACATTGGGACTTATCGTTGACAATACCCTTTGGCAGATGTATTTGTAAAAGGAATGTTATGGTTGGCTCATATTCGCTGGATGCGTTGATGGTATTTATTGGATTTGTGGGAGTAAAATTATAGCTATTAAAGAGTTCGAAGCGGCAGAAGAGAACATATCTCCAAAGATATTTCAAGTTATTTTGAAATGAGCGAGAATGCGAGGGAGAGACGGGAAACGGTGAGGGTAAGAGGCGGAAGTTGTTTTAGGGAATTTAAAGTTGTAGAACGAGCTTATTCAAGCAAAGTTCTTTTCCTATTTTTTTGGTCTTGTAAATTCTGAAATTGGAAACAGGAAAAGAAGTTCCTAGCAGACGAAGTGTCCAACTCGAAGAATTAATCAATCCATTCAAATACATCTCTTACAAGAAGGGAACCATGGGTTCGAATTTATTCTGTTCTATCGGCAAATTCGGCATCTTCACATAGTGCTCGGAGACGTTATTGGACGATCCGGCAATTCCCTTCGAGCGGCGATTGCATTACAGCCAACGAAGATACCTTGATATCTGTTCCCGAACGCAACGATTTGGTGTCGGAAACGAGGTGGATATGGAATTCATTTCGTATGGTGAAGCACCCACCGAATGAACAAGACTTTGGCTTTCGAGCAGAGCAAATGGGTAAATGAAAATTTTCAAGTGTTGATATTAAGCGATGCCTACCATCGGTAACAGTGATACGATCAATCCAAAGACTTTTAAAGATTCTCCCAAGGGAGCTATTTCCAATCATTCCTAAGTCCTTTATCAATAATATCTTTCTTCCACGTACCGATATCGATTCTATTTGGAAACACGTTGATATTCTCGCTTCTTGGATAGATTGCAACGCCAGGATTAATACTACTTTAAACGGAACCAGTATCTTTTCAGGTTTGTTCTTAGAAGCTCTGATTCCGGTTCACACAAAGACATAAATTCTGCGATGCTAAAGGTCCAACAATGGTAGTCATCAAACCAGCCTTCCAACGATCTCATCGATAGATGTAATCCCAAAAGTTGGTGCGACGATAGTGGATATCAGAGTATGATACAGTTTCTTCTGATAATGATGTCCAGAGAACAAGCGGTCGGACTGCGGGCCTGATTTTAGAATGAGTGATCTATGTTTCATGATGGGCATTCTGTAGTTCGAACCGAGTTGTTATTTTATTATCGACTCGGAAGCATATTTTCGAACAGGGAAACGTTTATTGTTGAATAATATGAAGTGTTTCAGATGAAGAAAAAGAGTGAAATGGAAAGAGTGTAATGAATGACAGATGGGATGTTAAACAGTGTGACAAGCGGGGTTAATAATGGGATAATGAGTCGTTGAATCGAATTGAAAGACTAATCAAGAGACAACCGGAGATATTGGGTAATAAGTGGCTTCGTTAAAGTTACTTCCATCTCGTTACTGTTATTTATAGAATATAAATAACACGGGCAATCCATAAAGACCGCAGAGTATTCCTCAGATAGTTGCATAATTGTTCATTGTATAATGATTGTTATATAAATTTCAATATAAGTAACTAGAGCTTGAGTTATGAGGGGGCTTCGCCCCCTTCATTAATTGCATTATCCAGGTTATACATATGAATTTAATATACTGCTTGTTACTTATTTTATCGAACGACCTTTAAGCGATAATGGAGTTAAACATATCATTATTTTTTCGAAAATGCAGTCAATTAGTTTCAAAAGGGTACAAAAATTATTACAACTTAGAAATAATAGACGTTTCGAAAAAATTTATTAAATTTTTTTATATGTTTTACTAAGTCTAATTGATTAGCAAGCTGAGTCGAATACTTTTTACCTGGGAGTGTACATTTTTAGTTAAAAAATTATTAGTTTTATCAGGGAACATTATTAAAAATTGTTTACAGTGGAATGGTGTGGGATTTGCAGAAATTTGTTGCAAACGATTATATTCTTCTATTACTTCTGGGTCTACTATAAAAGCATCACGATGTAAGTTACTGATGT